TGTTTCAGTCTTCTGATATCATGTATTTTGCTGAAGCTGTTATTATGGACTCATTGAAATTTTGAGTGTTTATGAATCTTAGGAAATAGAAGTACATTTCTACCCTTCATGTTTGTGGGGGAAAATTTATGTCTTGTTGTGGTTAAGCCTAGATGGTAAGTAATCATATGCAGCTGCTTTCTCACTCCACACTCCCTCCTCTTCCCAGTGGAATGGGGAAGAGAATCAAAAGCGGAACTTTCAAATCAAAAACCAAACAGATAAACGCCAAGAAAAACAAGTGATGCACAATAGCTACAATACCCACTAACAGATGCCAAACCCCGTTCTCCTGGACTGTGAGTGGCTGGGGTAGGGGAAGTGAGTGTGGGGCTTAGTTGTAAACTGGGCTTAAAAGAGAACAGATCATTCTGGTGCCCAGTGTGGGGCTGATGTGCCAGGCCCTTGAACCTGTACAGTGCAGTAATCCTGGTTAGCCCTCTCCTCCACCTGACTGGGGGCAGGGCCCTCTAATCTTGATCAAAGATACCCTGCTTCTTGCTCATATAAGTGGAATAGGACTTCTTCCCATCCAGTCCATAATATAATCAGCCCTTCCATTCTACCTGGGAAACTGTCCACTGGAAATTGGAGCAACAACTTTCCTTAAAGATCCCCCACTTGTGTTTGCTTTTGCCTGCCATTCCCACAGCTGTGCCTCTAGGGTCGAGGTATGCTTTCAATTCTACTTCCTCATGTCCTCTCCGTGGTCCCACTTAAACCTCAACATTTGTTCTTAATCACCATCTCTTCCTTTCTTTTCCCCTCTTTTCCCAACTTTCCCCTTCCTATTTCCTTTCCCTTTGCTCCACTTCCCTTTAATGAAGAATTTGCCTCTTCTAATTTATTTAAAAATATAACTGCTAACAGTTTTATGCTAATTTTTTTTTTTTTTTTTTTTTTTTTTTTTTTTTTTTTTTTTTTTTTTAACTCATTAGAGAGCCAATGTTCATGAACAGATGTCTTTGTGCCTTCTTTGGGCTAGTTATTTTTTAATTATTTCATGATGTTCTCTGTATTTCTTTAATAATTACTGACTTGCATGTAGCTCTGAATAGACAGCTTTTCACAGAACACCAGCTTTTCATGTAATACTTCCCACAATATTAGCCTCCTCCATAATGTATCTGATGAATAAGATGATTAAATAATTTAGTTGTTTGATAAAATTTATTTGTAAAATTTACATAGAGACAATGAGTTCTATTACAGAATCTTTGGAAAGAACACAGGAATGACAATGAAAGTAGACAGCAGTGAGATAGAAGAAGCTTGATGTTTTGAGATAACTAAATGTATTCAAACCAAAAAATTTGCAATTTCAGTTATCTATTAATTGTTGATTTCAGTCTATTTCTTGATTTTCTTTTTTTTCTCTTTTTTTCTTTTTCACCAGCTTTTGTGGTTCTTATGTAGTGTTCTTTGGCATAAAATTGTTTCAGTTCTGTCTGAGTTTGGAAAACGTTGGACATATCATTTTAGTCTTCTTAATACCGAAAGAATTCTAGAATATGCACATGCAGTTGAGTTACTACATGGAATACTCTAAGTGTGCTTCACTCCCTTACAACACCCAGAGGAAGACTTTACTGCAAATTCCACATTTTCTTCACATGTTACTTTGGCAGTAGCACGTAGTTCTAACACCATGGCTTATGTAGTTATGGTGTAGTGCAGCGTAGTTTTGGGGTTTTTTTTCCATACCAGTGTAATTTGTGAATTCATTTCCCTAGTCATTATTTAAGTTGGAGGGTTCATTTAATCCATGATAAAACCCTATGTATAATGTTTTTTGTTAATTTTCTCTTAAAATAGATGCCTTGTATTTCACTCAGGTCCCCCTTATGTTGTATAATCAGTTGCAGACAACAGCTCTATCAGTTAACCAAAAAAGTTTGTGTTTTAATCTTTATTTCACTCAAATAATGTAAATTAAAATTATATATACAATTGCCATATACTTAAATCCCTAGTCTTTCTCTTCATTCAGATTTTAATGAAGTCTTTTCTTAGATTTTAAGTTTGTTCTATTTCTAGAAGGGAATTTCTGCTTCTGGTGCAAAGTCACCTTGTGCTACACATCAAGTATCTTTAGTCCTTCCTGTGTCCTGTACCCTCTCTGGTTTCCTCCATCTCTCCCATCACTGTGGATTTGAAGAAAGGCAATTGAGTGAGAACCAACAATTCAGACTGAAGCTATTCTGGGCATTTTTAAATTTAGTTTTTGGATAAGTTTGTAATATAGGGTGACCAATAAATCGACATGCATAACAAATGGTAGAGGAGAGTCTTCTGAACATTTTCATTTCCTTTAGGTAAAGGGCAGTGGTTTTAGGTCACAACCTAAAGAACTTCTCTGAAAATCTTACTTTCAGCAAGAATGTATAACAAATGAATAGGCATTTGTTTGGCAAGCCATTGACTAGCCATGCTTGATTTTTCACTGTTTTCCAAAGTTCGAGTTAATGCTTTCCAATGACACAATAAATTTACCTAATGCAACTTTGAGCCCTTTGTATCTCAGGACTTACTGCAATGCTGATCAGTGAAGGCATTCAGTCTACTTGAGGAAGAAGACATAATTACCCCATTGCCAGAAAAGCAGCAGCCTTCCTCAGGTTTAGAATGATATGTGTGGCAGTAATGTAGGGTCCCTTAGTGTATTTTCAGTTGTGATTAATGGAAGGTATAATTCCAAGATTTAAAAAAATCGATGGAACTTTTGGTTTAAGGTTTACTTGAAATACATTTGTAATTAATATGTCTTGCTAGGGATACTACTGTGCAGTGTCTTTATTTTCTTTCTAAAAGCTTTACCAAAAAAACCCAAAACAATATACTATTTGTTAAGCAGAATTTTTGACTGCCTAGATTGATTTCTACATGAATCTTATGAATAGTTTAAATGCTGCAAAAAGGAGGAAAGATGGATACACAGGCAGTTATGAAGGCTAGTTCTATTTTTCTTCTGTGATACAGATCAATATAATTATGTTCTATAGTCAAATTGTCATTGTGCTCCTATTCCCAGAGAGATCCAGTAGCATTATGGGCACAACTCTTTCACAGTGTTACACAAGGACCTATTGATTAATTTTCTAAAGAATGTGAAAGACCTCCCTTAAAGTGCATAGGTCTTCTGCTACCCCTCTGCAAAAATGAGTTTTGCTCTGCAAGATTAGGGAAGAAAGTAAGGTCTCTGATTTAGTTGCATGTTTTAATTTTAAACATGTCCTATAGCTTCAGGAATTCTGTACATGACTTGACTCACATAATGGCACATGATTTATCATCCCATAATGTGAAATATTTTTATAAGACCATTTCTCATACTAAATGTGAGGCAGGAAATGGAGTTGCTGGCTATTATTACTTAAACAGATAATTCAAGTAGTGGAAGTAAATCATATGTGCATCTGTTCAGTACAGGTTTTCAGATACTTAATAAAGTGGCAGCATATGTGTTAGATAGAAATTAGCTTAGTTGGAATGGGTTGTGCATGGTGTGAGAAGTGTCTAGAAAACAAGCATTCCCACTGCTGTGGAAAATTTGTGGATTTGTTTGTTACATGAAACAAGGCCTTACCAAAAAACGAAGGGACTGAAAGGAGCATTTGATTCAGAAGAGCAGGCAGAAAGGTCATGACATGATAGCTAATAGCACTGAAGTCAATGCTGTACCCATAGATATGTATTGATGAGAAAAAATTAATTTAGCACTGGATACTGTCCATAATTCTGTTCTCTGTTTAAGTGTAACCTTCCAAAGGTATTGGTACTTCCTAACAAAATGTGTTTTTCATAAAATTCCCAGCTAGCTCTAATGAGGGCTGCAGTGAGTACCAGAATGACAATGCTGGCAGGAAAACAATTTTTTTCTCTATAATATGGATTCCAAATTTTACATTGCTCTGTGGTAAAAATGGAAGATATGCAATGTAGGTCAGCACAGCGTCAATTCTAGAGAATTAAAATACAGATACTTCCTCTCAAATCAATCAAAGCATCCATCAAACTTCGCAAATTGAAAAAAATGTGGACATGTGAAACTATTTTTCATGGCACAAAATAATCACTACTTTTTATTTTGGTTCTCAACAGCTCTCATACATACAAAAATATCTAAAAATTCATAGGTGCACATAAAACTTGCTCAGCAACTAGACTGTAAAAAATATGTCTATATTTTTAATATTTCATGCTTTAGTCAAAGCATCAGATCAGAAACTTGGTTTGAATTTTAGAAAGAGTGGGTTTTTTTTAACATTGTCATATGGGGAAAAACCACAAGTATTTCCTTTCATCTTTCACTGATGCTAAGTACAAAATGTGAGCTGTCTGTCAGCCACTTAGAGAAGTGAGGCTGCAATCCAGTACAGTTTCGTGCCCTATTAACATAGATCTATTTCTAAGATCCTGACTAGAATAAGTCTGGCTCATCTCCCTCTGTGTACTTCCAATTTTTTTTCTGACACATGGAGCACCTACTAGGCACTTAAATTTTGTGTCACTTTCTGTGTGTTTGGACATTTTTTTCTTGTTTCTTTCCTTTTTCTTTTTTTTTTTTCCTTCAAATTATTTTTCTTTTTTTCTTGTTGGTTTTTTTTTTTCCTTCCTGATTTGCACATTAATTGCCAAGTCTTCTTTGTTTTCTAGATATATCAATATGTAGTTCTGGCTTATTTGTTTGAAATAATGGCATGTACTTGAAATAAAATATGCATCATTGTCTCTTAAACAATGGAACCATGTTTAAGACAGATATATGTGAAAGAATCCTGTGAGCTTAAATGTATTTTCCTCCTTTACTTGGTGTTCTACAATATATATATATGTTCTACAATACATATCCTTTACTACAATACATATATATTCTGACACTAGCTTTTTACAGCTTTCTGGTCTTTTTTTAACTATTATTTTTGTCATTTGAACTAACCAGAGCAATTGTTTCATTTCAGTTTGGAAGACGTTACATTGAAGACCTTTTTAATGATTTTCGAGATGGACGAAGACTTCTGGAGCTCCTGGAATGTCTTACAGGCCAAAAACTTGTATGTGTTTGGTAACACATTTACTGCATATTGAAGTCCTAATGTTGCTATAATTGTATTAGGTAATATTAACTAATTTCTGCCATTGATGAGGATCTGCAGAAACTATTTTCAGAGGTCTGAATAGGTTTCAGTTTCATTTGAAATAGTGGAAACATTGTGACTGAGAGCTGTATTAGACAGTAATACTTTGTGAGGCATGTACTTGAAATGAAAATATTCTACTGTATTGTATGCTCTTACAAAGTATGGCCCAGAGAAACAAGACTGAGGCAGGGTTCATTTAGGAATCTGGATTTTAGCTGGAATAAAATTCAATGTGTAGAATTCAAATGGTTTTCTAATGTCATACATTTGTAAGAATGCTGTGAGATTGAGAATCAAAATCCAGAGATAATATACTTGTACTGAAATATTGAACAAACTGATTCTTATTTGTTTAGCATCAACATGCCATAGCAATGTTCTTAAATTGTGCCATGCAGAGGACAACTAATTATGGTAAAATGAATCTGGACTTATGTAATTTTATATGCATTTCAATCATTCCATCACTGAAAATTACCTTCTAACTACAGATCCAGTTTGTTTCACAATTGACTTGATTTCATGTTGGGAAGCTGCATAAGCCCAGTGTATGTTAATATTCTATTCTCATAAAGTTATGAAATAGAAAACTATAGGTGTGGTATAAGATTTGAGTTACATACAGTGTACTCTACATTCTGATTTTGAACAGTCAAGTTTGGTTTTCTCTCTTTGTAGGCAAAAGAAAAGGGCTCCACAAGAGTTCATGCTCTGAACAATGTCAACAAAGCAATCCACGTTTTGCAGAGAAATAATGTAAGTATTCAGCCAGACAGGATCAGAACAGCCCGTACACAGCAACAAAATACTTCTTAGGTGTTGAATCAAACACCTTGATCTATAGTATAAAAGTCCTGGAGTCAAAGCAACTTTGTGAAAACCATGTGAAGTGGATATTTGTCATTCAGCATCAGGGTCAAATGTGTTTCAAAGAGTTGAAAATCCTCTTCCAGCAAATTTTAGCTAATGCATCTATAATGGGTGCTGTTTGAAGACAGATCAACCTGCATGATTTTAATTCTGGTCAATGGTCTTTAAAATAAGTTTTCAAAAGTTAAATACAAGAAGTCATCCATAGCTGGTTACAAGATGCTGCCTATCAAAATATTTACTCACAATCTTTGACAGTTTTGAAGTCTGAAAGCACAAGACTCTTCCTACAATAATTTTTTTTGTTAAATTTCAAAGGCATCTGTCTCCCATGATTCAAAATACTAATCATATCAATATCACTTTCAATTCTACTTTGTAAAGATTGATTTTTCAAGCCAGTATCCTGTGAATCATTCTTGAGCAAATATTCTCATATTATCTTTCTTATGCAGGCATTATAATGGACAAATAATTTTAGCAAACGTTTTCTCTGGCAAACTAATTTTATCAAAACACTCCTCAAGAATAAATTTAAAAAAAAACCAAAACAACAAACTGTAACACTTGCTTAGACTTCACAGTAAGAGGTGACAAAAAAAAGATAATGTATTCTGTGCTGTATATTATATTGGATTTCTTGATAGCTGCAGGAGGTCACTAATGCTTGAATTCAAATGCTGAATAAACTAATTGATTTTATAAATCTAAAGTAATCCACCTGAAGATTTGTACATAAAAACAGTGACCTTATAAGATTGACATAAAGACTTCCAGCTTGATTTTTCTTTTTATTTAATGGAATTTGATGTAAATAAATAGAAGAAAAAGCTTCTAAATTGTTCAAGATCTGCAACATTTGACACTATTGAGAAAAAAATCATCAATACATTATTTCACACTATACAAAAAGGTTTTATTTGCATAACTGGGTACAAATAATCATAGAAAATGCTTTTTGAAGTATTCAGTGCCTATCAGCTGAATCCACTCTTGTGCTTTTCACTCAGTTTCCAGAATACAATAATAGTCCCTTTCAAATCTGTGAAGAAAACAGAGAGTACTCCAATTTTAGAAGACAGAAGAAAAAACATTGTTTTAGGAAGTGAAGTGGTCATCCAATGGCCATCATATTCATGTAATAAAACCTTGTAAACTATATAAAATTTGGTATAGTATGTATTAAGGTATACTGTACCTTGTCAATATGAAGTCTAAAGACCTGCCTCTGAAATTGTTTCCTTAAGCTTCAGTAATTTGATGAATTATTTCCCTGGGACTTCAGGCATGCAATGGTTCAAAACTGAATTAAAGCCTGTGAGTAGTCTAGATTTTTCTGCTGATATATTACATCTTTGCCCTGAGGTTCTGTAGTCATCTGGGTGGTAACACTGAAAAATGTTGCTTTTCCCAGTCAATCCATTGCACAGTTCTTTTTGTTCCCATAGAAAAGGGAAAGTGTTGAGGGGGGAGCACGGAGGATGTGAGAGTTGGGAGGTTGCCCCAGTGTAGGCTTAGACCTCCCTGTGAAAAACTCGATGATGTTCCTCTGCTTCAGTCAAACAGATGTGGCTCTGTGTGTTCAGGCTTCCACTTCCAAAGATGGATTTCATCTGTAGAATATGCAGGGAATGCCCTAATAAACATTGTAGGGTGTCACTTGCTGCAAGGGACTCTGTTTCAAATTTAGCTTGTAAAGTCTAAGTTCCATTTGGGAAAAGTTGCAAGACATTGATGGTTAGAATAAATAGCCAATCTCATGTGCTTTTAGTACAAAATAAAGAGCTTTTCTTAAAGAAAAGAGCTCTTTGAGAGTTGTAGCAGTCTTGATAAAATATTTAATTTTTGGTTTGTAGAAATGACTTATACATAGATGCATTAAAAGGAAAAAGAAAATAGCTTGTTTTGAGGGTGCAAAACTTCAGTCAATTTGTAGATGGAACTTCAAATAACTTCAGAAGTGCACTAGAGACTGCAGAATGTTGCTGGTGAAGGAATGGGGTACTTTGCCCTAAAAAAACATCAGTTCTGACCATGAGAAATTGCATCTATGAAACAGCAAGGATGCCAATTTTAGCATCATAATTCCATCCAAATGTTCAGGACAGCTTATAGTCTTCCATTTATAACCCTGAATTTGGCTTCCTTATTCAGATAGTATAAAAAGGGAGAGAGGGTGAAGGATCATTTCCCATGTGGAGGAATGTCTTAGTTTAGGGCAAATTAGGGAGGAAAACTCCAAATGGGGATTTCCTCAGGGAAATGCCCCCTCCCCACCCCTGGTCCGGGAAAGAGGAAAAAAAAAAACAGAAAAAAAAAATTCCTTGGAGAGAAGTGTGGAAAAAGCTGTTTATTTTACAGAAATTGATTAATATTAAATAATAAGACCTCTCACTGTTCCATGGGACGGCAAGTCTAGGAAGAAAAGTACTTTTCATGTGGTGTAGCTTGGCCTGCTCGGGTTCTCATCAGTCCCTCTGGTGCTGGAAAGGGCCCAGGCCCAGGCCCCGGTGGGCCACAGGCGTGAGCTCCTGGGGTTTGGCTGGGTGTTCAGTCCAGAGCAGGCTTGAACAGCTGGGTGTTCAGTCCAGAGCAGGCTTGAACAGATCCAAGAGGGAAGAAAAAAGGAAAGAAAACAAAGGTCCAGGAAACTCCTCTACCTCAGCTAGCTAAAAGTAGCTAAAAGCCAGAGAGAAGCTCTGTCCCGCTGTCTGTCCGTGCTGCAGACACCACAGTCCAGGAGCGGGGTGTGGGGGAGTGATGTTTTTCTTTAACACAAACTGCGGCTTCTTCTTCTCCCCTTCACTCTCAGAGCCAGTCTTAAAGGTGCAGAAATTAATATATAACATAAACCAGGCAACTGGGGATACAAGCATCATAAAGTCACCCTAGAATTCAATTAAGGAAAATCAGGTTATAATTTAATCTAAATATTTAATGTCTTGGGTTTATAGGTTATTACAGTGTCTAGATGTGTGTTTTAACATTAAGAAAATTGTATTATGTAAGATAGTACAAAGCAGAGTACAGTAGTTTTTCTGTCTGTGTGATTTGTAATTGTAAAAGCTTAATATAAAAGATATTTAAGTTATTATAACTATTACTTTTCATTTTATGTTTCAAATCATCTTATAACTGGAATAGTAAGAGCTCCAGATCACTGATGTTTTCTTCCAGAACATTAATTATGCCATTTATAAAATATGAGTTTTATGTTCATGGAACAACAGAAACCAAATGGGAGATTTACCTTAGCCTATCCTCTCATCTCTTTCCAACCTCTTACACTTGTTATTACTTTTTTTACAATTATTTTTTGTTTCTATAATAGGTTGATTTGGTAAATATTGGGAGCTCAGATATTGTGGATGGAAATCATAAGCTGACCCTTGGTTTGATCTGGAATATAATCCTCCACTGGCAGGTGAGTGGCACTGCTCATTACTTCCTTTGAAATAAATACCTTTATTCCACTGATCTTTTCCCCATTATTATCCAGCAATAATTTCCAAAGTAATCATAGACATTGCAATATCCTAAATCAGCAAATATTATGGCAGTCTGCTTACATATTATCAAGGATATTGACAATAAGAAGAAGACAAAATATTTTTTACAGTATTAGCAGAAACTTTTTTGACTGTAATATCACAGATACTGCAAGATGATATATAAGAGTTATCCTAACAAAAATGGATATACAAAGCCAATGTGGATTTATTTTTAGTATCTTAGAAAGAGTGACTTCTCTATTTTAATGAAATAATCACATCAGTTGCTTTTAACTGCTGACCCTTCCTGCCAAGAATTATTTTTAGAACACTAAAAAGCTGCTAGACTGCCTATTTATTGAAGTAGATGTGGCTTATTTAGCTTCTTTTCTTTTTAGAGAGAAAGGGGGGTTTGTGATATGGATCTCATAAAAAACAGTGTGGTAGATGAGGACATTTAACTAAAAAAAATTCTGAGATGGCAATAAAATCAAAATTCAAAAAGATCTGGCTTCTAGATGCTCTGAATCCATGTGTTTGTGTGAATCTGGGCTGAGTCTGTCCAGTAGTGTTCACTATGTTCCCCAAGCAATAATCCACAAGTTTTTCATAGAATAACAGGAAAAGGTGGTGCAAAACAAAGCATAAAAGACTTCAAAAGTGAAACACTTTTACCAAAATCAGATGTGTATCATTCATCCAAGTAGGGAACATTTTTATTCTAATTTTGCTGGATGACAGCAACAGAGAAAATCTGCAGATAGTTAACTCACTTCTTTGTTTGTCTCCTGTGTCAATATTCCTAGTTTAATTCCCTAAAATTGTTCTAAATTACTTACTGAGAGTAGATGAAATATGATACCTAGCCACTTTTACCAATAATCCTTGAATCACTCAGGTTTAATTTGTATAAAATATGGACTGAGATGCCTATGTTCAAATGTTCAAAGTAATATTTTGTTTCCTTCATATTTTATCCTGAAGCAAAGTGTTAAAGGTGTGTTTTAGTATTAGCTGTGTACTCAATAATTTCTTTGCAATTGTTGCCACCCTTTCTCTTAACGTGTACTTGCACAAACACACAGAAGACACAGGTTCTGGTGTAGCCTGATGAGCTTTTTGACAGCAGCCATGTCAAAACCAAGTTTGCAGTGCAAAAGTGAGTAATTTCAAGCTTCATCTTGAGCCTTGTGATAACTGTGGTGGCAGCTGTGATGGTACCCATGGCTTCAGCCTGAACTGCCCGGGGATGAAAGGTCCAAGGATCATATTTACAGAACAGTGATTAGAAGTGTAAATCTTTGTCAGCGTAATCGTAATGATTCAGTCCAAATTTAGTATTTACTTAGAATTCTGTGATGCCTTAAAGATCTAGAAATAAAACAACACACTTTTCAGGCAATATTAGTGTAGGAAGTAATTCAAAAGCTAGTCTTTAATGGGAGGCCTTAGCAGCAAGTGTGGAAAAATTCCCACCCCACATAGGGTGAATACAGTTTTATAAATTTAACAAATTAGCATACTTGACAAGCATTCCCAAATAGAAGCACAGGTAATGAGGTAATTCCACCCTTAGTTCCACCTTTTTCCAGAACAATCCCCTTCCCCTTCAGATGTCGTTCTGATTGGGAACGGCTAGGAAGAACGACACAAACTCTCAAGGGTGTTTCAACACGAGAATTCTCTGGTTTATTACTTCAGGCCTGATTTTATAGACTGGTACGTGGACGGTACAGAAAGGAAATTCCTATTGGTTAACAAAGTGCTACATCACCATCATTGGTCAGGGGCACTCATCACCCCCCTGGCCTTCTCCTGCAAGAGAAAACAAGACTGCAAAACAACACCTGCAAGGCTGTTTAGTGTCCCTGAGAATTGTTTTAATTCCTTCTCATATTTTTCCCAGGCTATTTTCTCAGGCAGCCCGAGGAGCCAGGTGGCCTGTAATTTGTACAGGCACTGTGGTTTAGATTTAGCATCCATATTTAGATGCTAACTAACTATGAGAAAGTGTCTCAAGATGCTGTTTTAACCTTGGTTCCCAGATTAGGACTGGGGCCTTTAGGAATGTATTCTGTCTTGCTGTCTAACAGAGTAGGTGAAAAGCTAGCTAAAACCTATGTAGTTACACAGTAGCAGGCTACAGAGCCTGGTAGAGAAATATATGATGAAAAATAGATGAGAATATATAAAAGCAAAAAGGCAGAAATCAGTTTGGCTTCACTGTGTTTCAGTTTGTTCTAGTCATGAAGTACTGAAAGTGACCTGCACCTTCTGGACGTCTCATTTTATTCAAATTTCTGTAAATGAGATTCTAATTTGGCTAGAATTCAACTTTAGTTGTTTGTTGTTTGTTTGTTTGTTTTTTTCTAAAGAGTAGCTAAAACTCTTTGGCAATGAGAAGTCATTTGTAAATAATAACCCTGTTACTGTTGCTTAATGGTGAGTAATGTAAAAAAAAATAAAATGGAAGATGTATATTTTGGCTTTTCTCCTTAAAAAATAACAAAACACTCAGGAGGTATTTCTTTGCTGCCTATTTCCTTCAAAGTATTGGAAGAGTTCAAAGTAAATTTGCTTTTTTACAGCTCTGTGGAGAAAGTCTGTTCTTTTCCAGATTTTCTTTCAAACTTGAAAGTTAATTGCATGATCTAGAATACGTTTCTAATGGCTCTGCCCTGTTTATAAGTAGGCATGATCTTACATACTGACAGAACTTATGGTGAAACACAGCTGTGGATTTCTTAAGAAATTCTTCTTCCTGTTGGTTTGCCTATCACAGATTGTCCCTGACAAGAAGCAGCTGGAAACACAATAAATTGTTCATACAGAGTCAGGGCCACTGAACTTATCTGCCACTTGTCTCAGCTTGGTGAAATTCCAAGACCACTATATTTGTTTGTAGTCTGTAGAAGGCCTAGAGTGAAATAAATGGGAATCCACAGGCTGTTTGATTTAGTGCATGCTTGTATAGTGTGTGTTTGTTGGTGAAATCCTGCTTTTGCAGATCTTAAGAGTCACTTAGAGGAAATTCATCAGTCTACGTCTAGAACATAAAACACCAAGAAAAGATATGAGATTATTGTTTGTGTGAACACTTGTGTTGTTGTAGATGAACAGGCAAAAACTTTTCCAGTTTCATATCTTGCAGCCAGTAGTGCATAAGGACACAGCTGTACTTATACACATGACGACATGATGGTCTCTTACAAAAATGTTAATTTCTTTGTGTAAAAATAGCTTTAAAAAGAGATGGTAGAAGAAAGGTGCATGAAAGGAATAATGCCAGTACCAATCCAAATGGGTATCAGCAGTCCCACTGAGGAGAGTGGTAGAGGTGGTAAAGGCACTGCAATGGACAGGATTTGATGCACTGTTGCCACTCTCATCTCTGTGCAGTGGAAATACCATGGCTTTCTGCATCCCCTGTGCTGATTGTGTTCTTTCTTATCTAGCCTGTTTTTTTCAGATTATTATTAAAATTTTTCCTGAAATTGAAGTATTGTTCTGAGTTGAGCACCTGCTGCCAAAGCTCTTTATGGTATTGAATCCATCAGGATTTCCTTGAAGCTGCTGCCCTCTTTCTCACAGCTCTGTGATCCCAGCCTCACTGCAGCATTAGCATTTAAATAAAAACAGAGGAAAACTATTAATTTCTGTACTTTTATGTTTCATAAACTCTTAAGAGTGGAAAAACATTTTATATGGCAGTGTGTAAATTGTTGAAGAGTGAACTTATTTTCATGAAAAGCATGGAAGAAAACCTCTAGCAAAAATATTTGACCCAAATCTTGACTTTCTCTGGGAAAAATCATAAAATAATAGATCTAAACATAAGGAAAATATTTTAGAGGGGAGCATTTTAACAGCCTGTCAGCCTCATTTGGAGACTTACTAAAAGCATCAGGGTTATTGTTCACACCAGGATTTTAATATGAATTACCATTTTAATTAATTTAGATTTTTGATTATGGAAATAAAATGCTTCTGTCAATCCATCTTGAATCAATGACAAAAAATATCCTTTACTTTGATAGGTGTCTTGAATACCTATGAAAATGTCCTTAAAAGTGTTCTATCAAATGTATTTGGAAAGAGTTTAATGGTTCTAGCTATAAAAATGTAATCTATACAATCAGAATAGCTGAAATCTAGCAAGTAAAAAAGCTAAGTAATTCTGTCAGGGAGATGTAAATTTCCTATTTTATTAGGAAAAATGAAAAAAAAATCTAACTTTAAGAGCAGTTTTATTCTTTAGATATCTTCTTCCTTTTCCAGGGTCTTGAGTACTGAAGCCAAGTGCCAGTCTGACAAAATATTATGTGCCTGAGTGTTGGTTTTAGGTGAAAGAGCTGTAGTGTGAGCCTGAGATTATGCTGTGCTCCTTGTCATCTTACACACACAGCAACACATGCCCAGATTCCAGGACATGGCCCTAGAGTGGGAAGATCAAAGGTCCATTGGTGCTGTCAGCCAGGGCTGGCTGTGCTGCTTTTGGCCACTGTCTTCACGTGGTGACAGGAACAGCAGTGCCCTCATTCTGTCCACAGCTTTCCTTTTGGCAGCCTGGCATTTCAAAAGCCATCTTGGTGACATCTGTATTGTCCTTTCCCCACCTTCTATCAAAATGTAATCTTTCCTTATTGCTGTAGCATCCCTTCCCCAGGAAGAGCAAGTGTATCTGTTCTCTGGAAGTCAGAGTTTCCTACACCTGAAAGCTTTGTGTCCTGCCAGGATACACTGCATTAGAAAGGAGAGGTAACAAAGAAATGAGTAGCAGAGGTCAACTCATCATCTGACAGCATGAGGGAGAGGCACTCTGAAATAGCTGTAGTATTTGAGCCTGGATGCTGAGGGAGTTTGTCTGAAAGCTCTTCAGGCTGACACGAACACATCTCGATGTGCCACTTTTCCAGCAGTACATCTTAACTGA